TAAACTATGCAACTTAATTGTTTGTTTTCCACGCGAACTTTGACATACCTAGTATATATTAACAAAATAAACTTCCCTTCAACAGCTTGTTTTCAAATGGCGCTTGTTTGTTGTTTTACCAGTTATGAACGATGAACATGGAAAGAAATAACATCGATGTAGCGATATTTGTGGTTTTTCAAACATCGATATTGGCTTCGCATTTTATGAACGATGTATCGATTTTTCAGATATAAACGATGTAGCGTGTGCAACCCTAAGTACAACAAATAACAGGAAAAAAACAGTAAAACATATAAATAAATAGTGATTCTTAAAGACAAGATTTATAAAAAACAGACACTTAATAAAAAATACAGTGGCTATCCATATTGACTAAAAAATATATATAGATAGCGAAACTCATAATTATGCAAGATACATACATATCGAGGGCTTATATTTAATACCCTTTATCTGGAATTTCCACAAGATTCAGCTTCTTGTATGAAAACCCACCTAAGAATTAAGTGCTGTTAATGCTAACCTTATAAATAACTTGTTGGTACAATTTACTATTGAATTCCAAAGTTAGAGTTAACATCGTAATGGGTTTCACCATCAGAAACGTAGTTTTTCTGAAAATTGCAAAAATTTGAGATGGCAGGTTTGAACGTAATACCATGTTCTGACCGACATCGAAAACATGCTTCGTTGATAAAACTGGTTTTCGACCTAAAACTTGTGTTTTCGTCCATGTAAAATCTGTCAAACGAAAACTAGTTTTCGCTGAAAACCATTTGAAAACTCACGTTCCACTCATTCCAATCGGTGTCTGCACTAGTGTTTTTCGATTATTTATCGAAGTGGAAGTCATTTTATCATCTTTAATACGTTATTTCGGATTTATTGTTAATTAGGTGGCCAAAATAAAGTAAGCATGGAAGTAAAAGGTTGTTAATGAAAAGAAATTGAAGGAAAAGTTTTTTGGTTTTGCTTTTGTGTAGCAAAACTGTAAACAAAGGATGAAAGAAATGTCAACGAAAACACCAACAGTCGTGTGAACAGCCTTCAGCCCACAACCCCAAGGTGTTTTCGTTGTCGGTCAGAACATGGTATAAGCCCACGATATACATATGTATGTATATTCGTTTTAACGAAAGTACGAATCAGGGACCAAAAACCACAGTAATTTTTTTATTTTTTAAGTCAGCTTGGCCAAATATTTTTAAGTAGAAATAAAAGTCATTTCCCGATAATAAATAAACCGCTTATGCAAATTAAACAAGTTTGGTATCAAATGAAAGAGAACTAAATAGGTTTAAAACTGAAATTCCTAAACGAGGAAAGCCTCCTATTGGAAAATATTTCAATTAGAAATGTGAAATATGAAAAATATAAATTTCTTTTGTATTAAATTATGAAAAAAACATAAATAAATTGTTCGTTATTTCTGTTTAAAAGCTGTTTAGTCATTTTTCTTTTGATACCAAATTTGTTTAATTTGTTTGTTATCAGGAAATGACTTTTGTTACAAGCTTACAGAATATTTGGCAAAGTTGACTTAAAAAAAAAAAATAACTGTTATTTTCGGTTCATGGTACGAATATAGGACAAGCCTAAAGCTGCTTTTATTTAGAGTATTGCGAATGGACAGTGGAATAGAGATCCATGTGCGAATAGCATTGACAAAGATTGATTTGATGATTCTAAATTGTATATTTTTTAGCACATCAACAAAATATGAATTACATTAAACAAGCAAAGTGGTAAATGATTTATATGCCGTTGTAGTTTCGGGGGATATTCTTGCGAGTCTTTTACAATATTTGGCGTAATGTGAATAACTGGTCTATGGAGGATTTCCAAGGTCTAAAGCCCCACTGATATGGTCCAGTCAGTTCGTTGACGATGGGCTAGAGCTTCACACAATACGCTCGATAGGAACTTCTAACATAAGAAGAAGGCTGAAACCGCGGTAGCTGTTGGCTTTGACCGGGTAGCCTTTCTTGTGCATTGGGCGGAGCACACGTAAATTGCGGTGGTCGGGCACGCGTTCATTTAACCATATTCTGCCTAGAGTTGATCCATGCACTTATCCACTTTTCACTTCGGTACTTGTTGTTTTTCATCCTCGTAATTGCTATTCGTACCTCGTCATAGTGGGGTAGAACATCGACTCCGCCATCATAGACTGCTCGGGTTCGCCGTTCTGGACATCGGTCACTAGTTCGCTCTGGTTGTTTTTACAGGAGTTCGTCCTGGTCTTGAAACCTTCCGTAGGTCTCTGATAAAATTTTCTGCCGGTTTTTGAAGAGTGCTCTCTGAGAGTTGGTGTGAGACTCGAGTGGTGAATGCACTGACCGTCTGTTGTGATGGCAACTTTCTTTGCATTGTTGGGTGCACATTTGCGGTTGCATATCTTGCTGCAATAAGAAAGCGGTCCGAGTCGATGTTTGGCCCTCGGAGTGTACGTACGTCTAAAAGACTGGAAGCGCGCCTTATCACATTATGATCGATTTCGTTTCTCGTTTTTAAATCTGGAGGCAGCCAAGTAGCTTGATGGATTTTTTTATGCAAGATATTGTACCATGTTTTGGGCCCCGGCGAACCCGATGAGCCTCACTCCGTTATCGGACGTCTCGTCGTGGAGGCTGAATTTTCCGACAGTGGGGCCAAATATCCTTTCCCTGCCTACCTTGGAATTGAAATCGTCGAGGACGATTTTGATATCGTGACTCTCATAGAAGCTATCTTTGGACGCTTCGTCCTCTTACGTCGGAGAGCGGGCGCACATGAGTGAGCTATTTGCTATGATGCGGACTATGGCTTGACGCTCGTCCATCGTAAATTGAACACCGAATTTCCGTTCCTTTAAGTGACAGCTATAATAGACGTCACAAAGCGGTGCATTGCATTTCTTGGATAGCGGTGATGTTGGCTTTTGTCTTTACGAGGACATCAACCAGGTGCAGCCCTTATATCGAAGTCCATTTGAAACGTGTACCATGGCCGACATCAAAAGGTGTGTCTCATCTGAGGATTTGTTGAAATTCTTCACTGGAAGTGGTTTTGGTGAGGCGGGGCCCAAACCCAGTGACCCAAGACAAACACACGCTTGCAGCCACACCTACTGGTGAACATACGCTGTACACTTCAGTCAGCCTTTAAACCGAAGCTCCCTCTCTTTCTGCCGTGACCCAAGGCTTCACTCAGATTCGTTACCGCATCTCGCACATGGGTTGCTTACGTTGCCCAGAGTGCGCGAACGAGGACGCAAAAGTCGATATTGAGTGCGTGTGGTTACAAAATGGAAATCATTGCACCAGGATGAGGGTAAAAATTTGTTTTATAACTGTATATCTTCATTTATAAAGGGATCAGTGTGCAAACATAATGACTAGAAGTGAAATGGATTAAGGATTTTTTGATTTTAGGTTTGGATTTGTGAGGTGCTTGCCGTGGTTTTTATGGCGATTCAAGAATAGCTTATGAGTTGTGCATGTAAAAAAACATACTTTATATGTACTTGTGGTTGTTATAGTGGACTTACGATTTCTCTAATTGAATATTTTTTGACGTGGTTTGACTCTCTTCAGTTTCGGGCATGTATAGTTTGGAAAATGCCAATGCTGCAGGTGCTGCCATAACGCTTGAAGTAATTAAGTGAGCTGCTGAAGCTCCAAACGACAAATATGCTGCTAATACCGTTCCAGAAACCGTCGCAAATCCAGAAGCCATAATGGAATGTAATTCACTGGCTGTAAGCTTTTTCAGGTATGGTTTAATTAGCAACGGGCTTTCGGACATGCCCAAAAATATATTAGCTGCTGATGTAACACTTTCACAAACCGTGGTTCCCAAAACTTGTTGCAATAACCATCCAAGTCTCATAACTACCCATTGCATAGCACCCAAATATTGTAAAATTGAAACAAAAAAACTGAAGAAAAATATAACGGGCAAAATAGCAAAAGCGAAAATGGAGTCATTGATGAGCGTATCACCATAAACGAAACGACTTCCTTCATCAGAAAACGATAAAAAGCTTGCAACTTTATCGCCGATGCATTGAAAGATTTTACGGCCCACTTCCCAACGAATGCACAGCACGCCTAAAATAAACTGCCACGCTATTCCAGATACGACAGTTCGCCACTTGATTGCTTTGCGGTCATAAGAAAATATATAACCAGTCAGTATGAGAACGCATGGGGCCAACAGCGATTTCAATTTGTTTCTATCGTCCTTGGTATCAAAGTACAAAAATACCATCAGCAGAATAAGAAGGATTGCGAGCATGATGGTGGAGACAAGTCTAGCATGGAAGAAAATTAAGAAATGTAAATTAATAATTATTACGGAAACTTTTATTTAACAGATAAAATTTTAGCAGATGAGGTAATGTTTATCTCTTTTAGGATGGTGCTACTTATTTATATTCGTTTTACCTTTTTCGACTGAAATGCTTCCACCATTTTCCAAATGGGTAGATATACTGTCTTTTTAGAGGTGCACCTATAGTTGGCTTCAAGATTTTGAAGTAAAAGAAACCAAAGTAAACAAATCCCAGTAGCAGCACCAATAACCCATATCCATTGCATAATTGAATTCCACACAGCTTATTTGGGTTATTAGAATTACAGTCGTTATTTGCTGTGTAAAAAATAAACGAGCATTATACATTTATTTATAAGTACATACATATGTACATGAATAGTTTTAGACTGCAGACAAACCCACCGACATCGATATAGTGATACGTGGCATAGGCGAAGTATCCCGCGACAATTAGATGAGCTGCAACCTTAAGAACAGTGTGTGTCGTTTGCTTAAATCTGCTTTTCACATTTGGTTCCCTCATTTGGTATTCAAAGTTAGATTGAATGTTATCCACCTGAAATTAAATTGGAAATTCATACTTTGGTGTTAGTGCATTGGCATTCATTAACAGAACTGAAGCGCTTCGAGATACATTCAATATCATAAACGACTATGTGGAGCCCTCGTTAAATGCTCTGCTGCCATGGGCGTAGCCAGGTAGGGGCAGGGGGGTGCTCGAGCCCCCCCCCCCCTAACTTTCAAATTTTCCTTATATATATATAAAATAGTACCCTGAAATGCCAGCTTAATAGGGTCGAGCCCCCCCTAAATTTCATTCTGGCTACGCCGATGTCAAACGGCAATAACGCAAATTTGTGTTATTGCCCAATTGAATGTGAAATAACAAAAATTTGCTTTATTTCATTTCTCGTTGAGCAATAAGACCAACTTTAAATCTTAACAATTTGAGTAATAAAGCAAAATAGTGCAAATATGTAGGTAGTCACCCAGTTACATTTGACAAAAAGTAGTACATGAACAAGTTAAATGGACGTATTTGTAAGCATATAATTTTGAAAGTGCCCGGCCTCGCGGCGGTCCGCGTTCGACGCCGCGCTCGCGTCCCCCGCCCCACCCCACCTTTTGCAATTACATATGTACTGGTGGCATTATAACCGTTTAGAAAAAGGAAAAATGATAAAATAACACTAGTTCACTTCTGAAACTGCTATTTATTAATGTCCAAGTAATGGGAATTATTGTGTATGGTGTTATTGCATGCATCCCACCCATAGTGGAATTTACCAGGTGCCACTGCTTTATTAGAAAATTTGCCTATAAAATGTGACTATAAGGCAGCCGAATGTCAGAAAATAAAGCGAGAAAGCCGTTTTATTACTTCATCTGTTTATTGCGACATGGTTCCATGCAAACATTTTAAGGTTTTCCAGAAATGTTTTTAACATATTAAAAAGCATGCAGTAAAACTTCATACAAAAGCGCTATGTCTAATATGCGGAGCAGTTTTTAAAGACGATGCTTTTCCTATATTTTGTTAGACTTTTCATAAGTAAAAATATTTTGAGAATATTACTTTCTTCATATGAATTATATCACATTTTTTAAACGGTTTTATTTAGCTCACTCCGTTTGTTTTATTCTTGGGTCAAATTTAGTAATTCAAATTTCACCCTCTTCCTGTCAACCGATTAATCTGAAATTTTGTATACACTTTGGATTTTGGTGACAATACAATTATGTTTATTCATTATCATTATAAATTCAAGATGGCCGCCACTACAAAATGGCGGATAATTTATGTTTTTTTTATTAATCCCATCAATATGGGTATCAAATGAAAGGGCTCAACAAGCAGAATACAATATACTATAAAAAATTGAAATCCAAGATGGCGGCCGCTACAAAATGGCGGATAACGTAGGTTTTATCAATCCCATCAACATGGGTATCAAATGAAAGGTCTCAACAAGTAGAATACAATTTACTATGCAAAATTGAAATCTAAGATGGCCGCCGCTACCAAATGGCTGATAACAATTTTTTATCAATCCCACCAATATGGGTATCAAATAAAAGGGCTTGACAAGAAGAATACAGTGCACTATACAACCTCAATATTTAAGATGGGCGCAGCCACTAAATGGCGTATAATAATAAGATTTAAATTTAGAAATTGAATCTGTAATTTAGGTATCGATTAATCCAGCCTGAATCCACCACCCAAGTCCAGATTTTGTATCGTGTTGAGGACTGTATGGCGTTAGGGTGGCTAAAAATGATACGTCGTTAGCGGTACACCACCCAAGTTAAGGTGAAAGGTTAAAACGCGCCGAGAACTGTATGGCATTAGGGTGGATAAAAATGATATGTCGTTAGCGTTTTCCCCTCAAGACTCAGGCGCATCTTGTTGTACATAGCCTTGCCCCGTTTAAATGTCCATTACTCGTGGGAACAAAATGGTAAAAAAAAATATAAATAAAAATAGGTAAAAAAACTTTTTAAGTTAAACGGTTTTATGTTAAACATACATTGCAATGTTTAAGATAAATGTACTAAAAACCAAAAAATAATAAAAATAGGTAAAAAAACTTTTTAAGTTAAACGGATTTATGTTAAACATACATTGCAATGTTTAAGATAAATGTACTAAAAACCAAAAAATAATAAAATAGATACAGTCGTGGGAATTATAAACATATGCATAGACTAGACTAAAATAAAACCATGGGGCACGTCAATTGTCTACAATCGTTGATTAAAATGTTTGTTTTGTAATGTTACACTATAATTAGGCAGTTGTTCAACCGACAACGATAGACGTGTGATAAGTAGGGCTAGAATGTGGAAACAAGCTAGCAAGCTCGATTATAAGCGAGTTTTAGGATTTCATAGTGGTGAGCGAGTAGTACTTTTATCATATGTTTTGTCGATTAAAGACAAACTACGAGCAGTGAAACGATTCCTTGCCAGCCAGCAGTGTGAATGTCCAACGATAAACTAGTTGAAACATCTCTTTTATTTACATGGAGTGTATAACTATTGGAATTTCCATGAGCAAGAAAATAGTAAGTAATTTCCTCACCGTCTGCGGGCCAACTGCCTAACGACGAATTAAACGATTCTTCTATCGCACATTAAGTCGATAATTTGTAGACAATTGACGTGCCCCCCGGTTTCTATTTTAGTCTAGTCTATGCATATGTTTATAATTCCCACGACTGTATCTATTTTATTATTTTTTGGTTTTTAGTACATTTATCTTAAACATTGCAATGTATGTTTAACATAAAACCGTTTAACTTAAAAAGTTTTTTTACCTATTTTTTTATTTAATTCAAGGCCTATCAAACAGGTTTAGAGCATTTGAGCAAAAACAACATTTGACTGTATTTTGTTGTTGCTTCTGGTATCGAAGGTGCGCAAAACTGTTCTGATTTTTGTCTTCTACATCAAAGCGTGCCATGCGAAATACGAAAAAGGTAAAAAATTTTAATTGAAAAAAATGAAAATTGTTGCAACTTTCTTTCTTAGTAAATTGGTTCGCTTCTCGAAGCATTGATCCATCATCCTGTGCCAGGCCCAATAATCAGCGGTTGTGCTGCTGAGTTGGGCGAGCTTTCCAAAAGCTGATATTTAATCGCTGGTTTTGTATGGAAAATGTTTCACATGCAAATAGATTTTAACAATTTAGAATTTTTGTCAGAAGAAATGTAAAATATTTGACATTTTCGAGAACAAATAATTTGAAAAAAATCAAATCAGCTGCTATACTGATATTACCTGTTCAATGTGCCTTGGTTTAATTATATTTTTGGAATAAACACAGTTCCATGATACAAAAAAGAAGGTAGTTTCAATAAACAACTTTTGACGGATAATAAAATTTTTTGAAGTTTCATAATTTGTGAGTATTATCAACGGCCTTGCCACTTTGATAATATTAAAACAATAAATCGGAGTATTTTCTTTCCCATATTTATACCAATGTAATAACATTTTAAATCAAAAACTATTATCAGTACTTGGTACTGTTAAAGGAGACTTCATCGTAATAGTTCTCTTCATTTTGTAATAAAAACCACGGGCGCATTTTTCTGTTTTTTTTTTTAATGCCATTTTGCGATTTAAAAATCAAATTCTAAAGAATGTTCTTCCCAAATGAAACCTTGTTATATTTAGGTTCAAATTTGCTTTTAAATTTCTCATCAGATTTTGTAAAAAATTAGGCTTTTAGCATCATTAAATTTCACAAATTAATTTATGCAAAACACCTGAAGAAGGCTTGAACAGACCGCCCTCCGATAAACAGCTAACAGATCGTCGTTTAAAGTACAAAACCGTGTATCGACAAAATGCACAACTGCGTATGTGAGGTTGCATAAATTATTTAGAAGAGAGTAAAACACTCACATTTCAAAATGGTTCTCTTTTTTACAAAGAAATCTCATTTCAGGACGAATGGATAAGGGTTGAGCCAAGAGCTTGTGTGAGCAAATCCAATTTTTGGAGAAAAATGTCAGTTACGCGGTTTTGCAGTTACACATTCTTCATGCGTTCTGAAACCTAGTCGTCAACCCCATTTGCGAAATCATTTAGCCGGCATAATTTTCTAGTTCATCATATTCCACATCTTTGAATGTACTGATAAAATCTCTGCTTAAAAAAATATATTTCTTCCAGTAATCAGGTAGCATGAATTTGATGAAATGCCATAATTTTATTAAAAGTCAAATGGTTAGCAACAACAACGAATATCATTAAATGAAACTACCTTCTTTTTTGTATCATGCACAGTTCTTTCTCCTTCTGTCAGTAAACTGTTTTTTTTTTACAAATAGTATAAAGAAGCAATGGGAAATAAGGCAAAATTTGTTTTATTTCCAACCTTTTTGGAAATAAAGCAAAACTCAGATTTTGGTATTATTTCCCATTTAAAAGTGAAATAAAACAAATTTTGCGTTATTGCCGTTTGTGTTAATCCTGTAAACCGGACTGCTATTGGAACAGACTACATATTAGAAAAACCGAAATTATGCATATGCACTCTTTCGTTTGAAAATCGAAATAATGCATATGAAAAAAATCTAAATAATGCGTATCTGCACAATTTCGGTTGAAAACCGAAATAACGCATATGAGAAAAACGCAGTAATGCATACATGCACAGTTTCGGTTCAAAACCGAAATAATGCAACCCTGGAAAAAATTGTGCGACTAATCTCTAAAGAGAGTATTCCGAGATTACTCTCAATCGGGTACAATTGGGCATTAATTAGTCGCAACTAGTCCCATGCGGGTACTAATGTAGGTCAATTAGTCTCGACTCATTCCTTATCGGTATAATTGGAGATCAATTAGTCCCCAACTCATCTCTAACGGGTACTATTAACGATTTAATGATATGTACGCACTTAGTCAATGCAATTTCATGTGCGGCGTTGGCACAGAGAGAGGGTATTCGCCTAACAAATCCCCGGTTCGAATCTCAGCTGGCGCGAATTTTTATTTTTATTTTTTAAAAGTGACTAGTCGCTTTTCATACCCGTTCGGGTA